CCTTCACGGGTTATAGTTATAAAAACCCCCAAAACCCCATTTATACCCAAACTCTTTCTTCTTATCTCTTTCACTGTGCGCATCTCTCTCTCAAACCCAACACTTATCTTTGCTTAAAAAAAAACGTTTCAAGCTTAATTTCACTCAGATTTCAATTCCTAAACCTGCTAGCATCATTAATTTTGTGCAAAAAACATCACATTCTCACTCAATCTTCCAATTTCAAGGTAACTTTTCTAAAAGCTCTATTTTATTGATTTTTGAACTTAGAACTAGTTTTGATTAGTTCTAGGGTGAAATAGTGATATGGCATTACTTAGATTTTGGTTTAGAACAATAATCTACAACTAATTTCATCAAAAACACAATATTTGATCATTTTTTTTTAATTTTCGAAATAAAAAAATTGTTTTGATTTTAAAATTGTTGTTTTTGATTTAATTATATTGTTTTGAAAACTACACATTGATTTTCAAACATTTTTTTCAAACATAGTTTTCAAAATTTGTCCATTAGAATTATTAGAGAACCTTGAAATATTGAGGACTCACTTGAGTTTTGGGAATTGATTATATTGCATACATATGTTTTAAATTTGCAGGTTACTCTTCCGATTTCTTAATCATGTCTCAAAAACGCCTAGGACATCCTCCAGTCATTCAAACCATCCACCTAACCCACCTCTCAATCCACCTCCTATTCAACAAATTCCTAATCCTGATGATCCCGAAATGACTATTCAAAATTCGTGCTTTAACGAACCTAGTCGTAAACAAAATCTCTTCTTTAGGTCTTCTCAGTATTTTAAGTCATATAAAATTCGAGAAAAACGTATTCCTTTTATTCGAGCAATGCAAGAAATAAACTTTAGATATATTCCTACTCTCGAAGCTTGGAAATTTGATAAACGTTTTCATCTCGAACCAGTAGTTTACCAACAACTCGTTCGAATTTTCTATTCCAATTCCATTTGTATTCAAATCCGAGCTAGAAACGAAAAAATAGGAATTCGATCCTATCTTTTAGGTCGATTTATCCATATTGATTTTGAATACATTGTTAACGCATTAGGATTAGATTATATTTGGTGGTTTAGACCATCCGGAGGCAAATACTCCACTTTTAGAGCCTTAGACCTTTGGTGGATACATTGTATCCAGAATAATAGGAAAATTAACCTACCTCAGATTATATTTGCCGAACTCTTTGAAACCATAAACCTTGTCCCTAATAAAAAGCTTTGTGAAACTATAGTTTAAAGTTGTCTTCTGAGCAACCTGTTTATCAAATCCGAGCTTAGAGTACAACTTGATATAGCCATCCCTCTCAAAAACCAAATAAATTTGACTTCTTTAAAGAAATCGGGATGGAAAAAGGATACGGAAACAAACCAATAGGTTCGATCCCCTTAGAAAACACCGGGAGCTAGCTCCTCACGAGCTCCACCTCCTCCGGCACCGGCAGCGGACGATGATCCATAGCTTCAGCAACTTATGCAAGATATCAACAATATTGACGATGAAGCACCCGAGGACGCGCTGGCATAGCAAGAGGATCAAGTGCCTCCATATTTTCGATCATTTATGGAGACATTTGATCTGAGGTTCGCATCCATTGAGTCCCATTTGATTGCTACGGGGGCTTAACAACGGGAGATGAACGAACGTTTAGACGTGCTCACACTTGAGATGCGAGCACGTTATCCTTATCCTCCTCCCGATCCTTCTATGGATTAGACCTTGCCTTGCCTTGCTTTGTTTTTGATTGGATTTAACTTAGGATTTATATGTTGGATTAATAAAAACTTTTGATGTTTTTGGATTAGATGCTTGAATTTGTTTTGGATGATTTGGATATTTGAACTTACAAGATTATCTTTATATATTTGGTTTGAATTTTTAATGCCTATTTATTTTTTGCATCATCTACATTTTAGATTAATATGACCAATTTACCATTGCACATTATTTATTAATATTGACTTATGAAACTAATGGCTAACATTTTCTCTTGATTGTGTTCTTAGCAACTTAAGCTTTAAATTTCTAAATATCAATTGGCTAAATTTTTCAAAAACCTTGTTTAAAAAATGTTTATAGAGTCTTTTTGATTTAACAAAAAGGGGGGAGAAGAGTTAGAATAAGGGGGAGTAATAATTTTTCAAAACTTGATTTCAAAAATGTTTTTCAATTAGAAAATCTTAAAATTAATAAAATGTTTTGTTATATAAAAAAGGGAGAGATTGTTGAAAATATTTTGATGTTTCGATATAACAAATTAAATGTTATTGGATTTTAAGATTTTATAATCATTTTCAAATGTATATTCGATTAAACCATTCAAATATCAAAATATTACTCCAAGTTTTTCAAATGTCAAAAAGTGTAAAATTATGTTTTAATCTCAAAATATTTTTAAAACAAATATTACAAAGTATTTCGAGCCTAAATCGAGCCAAAAATAATTTTTAAATAGAAGGGCTTCAAGAAAAACCAGATTGCTCGGATGGTATCGGTACCCCCTCAGATGGTACCGATACCCCCATGCCAATTTTGGCTCTGAGAAAAACAGAATGCTCGGATGGTACCGGTACCTAGAGATGCACAGAAGCCGGATTTCAATCCGATCCGGATCGGATAAAAACCGATCCGGTTTTTCCCCCAACCCAAAAACCGGATTTTAAAAAAACCGGTTCGGATCCTAACCGGTTTGGAGGGTCGGATGGTGTAACCGGTGTAACCGGTTTCGGTTTGTAAAAAACCGGATTTAAAAAAAAACGGATTTTTTGATAAAAATTCGGTTTTTTAAAAAAACCGGATTTTTTTTCGGATAAAAAACCGATTTTTTATCCGGTTTGAAAAAAACCGGTTTTTAATCAGGTAAAAAACCCGGTTAAAATAACCGGTTTAAAAAAATCCGATCCGGTTAAAAAAACCGGTTTTTCCCAAATCCGGTTTCGGATATTTTTTTCGTAAAATCGGATATTTTGATTTTTTGTGCACCCCTACCGGTACCCCCCAGATGGTACCAAAAACCCTAGTCACTTAACGGTCGAAATATTTAAATTTTACACTGCTGGTACAGATACCCTATGAAGGGGTATCGATACCACCCACGCTCCTCAATTGTTTTATTAATTGTTGTCACTCAATAACGACTATATTGACTCCATTAGTGATCCCCAACGTTCAGAAGTGATCAAATGAGTATTTAAACAAGCTTAGGAGCCATTGATCAACAACAATAAACAAGAATTGAGAGAGAATCAAAGAGAAAGCATCAAACCTCAAGTTTGGGCATTTTCAAGCCTATTTCATTCAATATTCATTTTTGCTTTCAAGAACACTTATTGTGCTCAATTTTATTATTTTTAGTGTTATTTCTTTGTTATAGAATTGCGCAAACATCTTTCCTTGTGAGGTTTTTCTGTAAGTTTGCAAAATTTGTATTGTTCTCTTTGGGAGAGAGTGTTCTCAAGAATTTGGGGTATAATTCTTAAGGGATTTGTAAGGTTACTCTTTGTCCTCAAAAGAAAGACAAATTAGTGAATTTGTAGAAAATCCTTAGTGTGGATAGCTAAGGTAGTGGACGTAAACTTTGGTTGAGAAAGTCGAACCACTCTAAATCGCTGTGCAATTATTTTTAATTTTCTGCAAAAGCTTCCACCGAAATTTTGATTGCCAATTCACCCCCTCTTGGCCGATTCGTCGATCGATTAACTCAACAGAGTTGCACCAGCGTTGCTTGCGGAGTATAGTGCATGTAATTAGTGGCACGAAGGTTGTATTCTGTTTTTATATTCGAGTCTGAAACTTATTTTATTACTATATATTATTGAATTTTATTTTTAATATATAAATGATTTTATGAACTTGTATTTTATCTATAAATTATTTTACAGTTTTAAATGAATTAACAAAAAATTTAAAATTTTAAAGATTTTCAGTCTGGGTTACTTCGATGATCCTAATGTGATACACCGGATCAAATCAAATCACATGTATCGATATGAGGGTGTTACAAATGGTATTTAGTGTAGTTTACCCTTAAAATTAAACCCAATAAAACTAACTTCTTTGTGACCCAAACTCTAAAAAAACCAAATCCCTTAAAAATAATATTAAATTATTTGTCAATCCAATCAAATATCAAGTATGCTACAATAAAAATTGAACTCAAACAATAAAACATGGTTTCACGTAGGGTCAAAATAGTCTTCATGAGATAGTATACAATTTTGTGAGTTTGTTTTAGGGCTGAGCAACGAAATTGAGAAAATCGAAAAATCGATATGAACTAAGTAAAATGATTCGGTTTGGATTTACCTTTAAACGGTTCGGGTTTACCTTTAAACGGTTCGGTTCGGTTCGGGTTTACCTTTAAACGGTTTGATTTCAGGTTGATTTAAAGAATCAATTCTATTAATTCGGTTCGGTTTGAGTTTTTCATATGGAACCCACTTGTTCCATATTGAACCGAATAGACATTTTTTTTTTGAATTTATAGTTTCAAGTGAATTTTTCATTGAAAAAACGACAAACCTAACATAACCGAACCGAATCGAAAAAACCTCATTATCTAATCGAACCAAACCAAAAAAATCGATTTCACATAATTCGATTTTTTAATCATTCGGTTTCGGTTTAAATTTTAAAAAACTGTTTATTTCGGTTTCGTTCAATTTTTAGTAAAATATCAAACCGAATCGAATCGAATAAATCCTTAGTTTGTTTTATATGGAATTGAGCTGCCCCACAGTGCCAGAGAAGAAGTGGTAGTTAAGGCAACTGGTCAAAAGCGAAGGGCCCCTATCCAAAGAAATGACCACAAAAACCGTCGGAAACAGGTGTATGACACATATACCTTTACTTAAAAGACACCCTGACCCAATAGTCCGACAGCGAAAAATATCTAATAAAATATTAAAATCAATTATTTTATTTTCTCTATGCACTATCATGAAAGTTCCCATAACCCCATCACATGTGTATATAAATCCCCCTTCATGCCACCCCATTATTGCTCGTCTCAATTTCCCTTTGTCTTCATTTTCCTTTCTCTTTAGCAGCATTACTTTTCCTAGGGAAATCTACCAAGAGATTACAACAACAAAATGGAGGCATTGAGGATGAGACTATTTTTTGCCACGGTTGTCGTGTTGATGGCCGCAATCCAAAACGTCGCAGCAGCCGATGCTCCTGCCCCTAGCCCTACGTCAGATGCCACGACGTTCGTGCCCACGGTGGTTGCTTCCCTTGTTGCTCTTGCGTTTGGTCTCTTCTTTTGATGAAATAGTACTATTTTTTTATGGGAGGGGTTGATATTTAAAGATTGGAGTTTATGTAGAGTTCTTTCTTCTCTAAAGTTGTCTTCTTCTATACTTTATTTCTTGAGGATTTTTATTTATTTGGATTTTGTTTTCTATTTTCTTTCTTATTGTAACGCATAATTGATGTCATTTTGTTTCTAATGAATTATGTGTTTGTTTGTAATTTATCGGTAGCACATATATGTTACCGATATAGCTATTACGACCCAAAATCTTTAAGAATGAAACATTAAATATAAAATTAAATTTTATGATAATGATATCACTTTTTTAAAAAAGTAACTTTAAATAAAGATTGGATAAATTAAGATCTCACGAATAATGTTTATTTTATTTTATAATGAAAGAATTGTCGGTCCAGCTCAATTGGTAGAGTGCAAGGCTCTTAATTTTGTGGTTGTGGGATCGAGTCTCACGGTATGTAATTTATAATTTTGACTACCGGAGGTCTCCCACGGAAGTTGCTCTCAACCTGACGTTAGGACAACTTACTATCATACCTCCCCTTACTTTATTACATATGAGAATAGGATCAGTTAATGTATTTTATAATGAAAATTTTCTACCTTAATTAATCAAAGAAAGATGTCATAACAATTTTTAAAATCATTACAAAATAATATATACAAAACTAGTAAAAATTTTGAAACAATATTATAATGAATTAAAATTATAATAATTGAATCATAGTATCTTATTGGTGAAATTGTATCAATAATTTAGAGGGTAAAATAAACAAACGGTCTCTAATATAAGATACTATTTTATTAAGATTTTTTTACTATTAAGAGTTATAAAATGACCCACCGACTACATAGCGATGTTTTGTTGAGTCTATTGACTATTAAAAATTATAAAATGATAATTCGACTATTTATATATTCCAAACTCGTCAGTTTTCATTATAAAATTGACCGTATGAACTTAACGTTAACATGTTGACTAATATATGATAAAATCTGATATCAAAATATTAAACAATTATCATATCCAAATCAGTAAATTAACGTTTAACTTAAACAATTTCAATATTTTAACAAAAAAAATAACGAATTTAAAATTTATAAAATCATACTTGAAGTTACGCAATAGAATGGTTCAAAAGAATCGAAACAGTTTATAATTAGAGTTGATCATAACAGTCTTTTGAAAAGCAGAGGCAGAGCCCAGTGGACCGGCTTCTCAAGTCCTAAATCACGAAAGGACATTCATGTAATTGAAAAACCATCACTATAATAAGCGTCCACCAGAAAGCCCTAATCATCGACCTGATTCAAAACCCTAGAACGCCTCTTCCGTGGTTGTTTGCCTCTTTGAGTAGCCATGCGAGTGAAATCTGGGTTTTGCATTTGGCTTAGTTAGGAGGCATAGATGGATTCAGGCCTTTTGAGGGGACTCTTGAATTCTTTTCTTCTCTCTCAATTGTCCCCCAAGCTGCCTTGTACATTTTCATTCTTCTTCTCTTTTTTTTTTTTTTCTGGGTAAATTGCCTCTCGAATAACCAGATGGTTAAGACTATGATACGACGCCGTTTGGTTCAGACAGGGGCTTACATCAAAACTCGAAACAATTTGTAACTAAGGAATGGTTTTCTTCCCTTCCTTTTCCCTATTGTCCTCGAATATTCTTTGGTTTTTTTCCCTATTAAGGAATGTTTTGTTTTTAAAGAAAAGAAAAGAAAGCATTATTTCACATCGCTTCGTTAAATAGGTGTTAACCACTTCATTCATTGCGTTAAATATTTTAGCCAAATTGAAAACAAAAGACAATCAATTCGGCTGATTTCATATTTTCCTTAAGCCACTTAAATATACTGTTGCACTGAATTTCCAGCGAATTTAACTTGTCTTACAAAAGTCAAATTAAATGATTTTCACCGTCAAATCCTGCCAAATTTGAATTGTGTTTTATACAACTTCATTGGGCTCACAAGGTAATCGAACCCGACGTGTTTCGATCAGATTGGGTTGAATTTAAAAAAAGATTTAGGTTTGGATTGAATCGAGTTTTTTAAAATGTGATGTTAAGTCGGATTTAAGTTTATGATAAAAATATAATTTTTAAAAGGTTTATGGTAAAAATACTTTATTCAAAAAATATAATTTTACTTTATATATTTAGAGATAATTATAATAATATTCTATCTATACTATTTTTAATTAAATCTTTATTTTTATTGTATAAAAAATAATATTTTTTTATTATTTCGGGCCGAGTCATGTTTGAGTTTTATCTCAAAAAGTCTGGTCAGGTTCGGGTTGAGTAAAGGATGTATATTTTTTGGATCAGGTCGAGTGAAAGATATAATTTTTTTGAATCAATCGGATCAGATTGACTGAAACATGACCTAAGCCGGACACATGTCCATCCTTACTGTAACACCATAACCCGTATAATTATACCTATACAGATTAAAGATGTCACCCGAATTTTTTTAAACCATCTTTATTCGAAAACGATTTAAAATTTATTTTCTTAAAATGATAAATGATATTATAAAATTATCATATCATAACAATTACGTTTTGTTGTAACAAATTTAATTCGAATTTTTTATGAATAGTGATGAACAGTATTGTTAACAGTGAACAGTATTGTTAACAGTGAACAGTGCATCGATGCGATACAGTACGTGAACAGTGCATGCATCGATGCATCAAAACACCGAATTAATATTATGCATAGATACGCTAAAGTAACTGCTACAGTGCATCGATACGCTACATTAACTGCTACAGTAACTTCCGAAAATACATATAAATTCATAAAAATTAACCTTTCATCACTATAAAAATTTCCAAAATTTATTCAACAATTAAATTGAACATTTTCAAATTACATGCCACTATCTAAATCAAATTCCATCATAGGATGTCTTACTGATAATGAAATATACCTCTCGATGCTTGATATCAATTTGAACTCTTTATTTTGCTTTTTACCTATGCGTGAAAATCATCACACGCTAAGTATAAACATAGTGAGGCAATTTAAACATTTAACAGTGGAATACAATTTATGCATGATTTTCAATGTCAAAATCAAACTTCCATAATATCATTTTACTAATATATCAAATATTTTACCATGATCAATATAATATAAAAACTCTTATTTTTTTTCTCATAAGCTCGTAAGCTTATTTTTACCAAAATACTTACCATTTAAATTCCATAAGCTCGTAAGCTTATTTTATCAATATACTTACCATTTAAATTCCATAAGCTCGTAAGCTTATTTTATCAATATACTTACCATTTAAATTCCATAAGCTCGTAAGCTTATTTTATCAATATACTTACCATTTAAATTCCATAAGCTCGTAAGCTTATTTTATCAATATACTTGCCATTATTCATAAGCTCATAAGCTTATTTGCATACTTACCATTTATTAACCAATAAACCATAAATCATAGCCCATAATATAACTGTATGAGGAACCCGGTATAGGAGTCAAATATTGCACCGAAGTGCTGAAGTCGAGCTTTGCTCACCTAATAATGCACCGTAGTGCTTGTACCGTGTCTTCATTAGACACTAAGGCCTGCACTATGTGTCTTCTCTAGACACTCTAGTACTACCTAATATTGCAGCTACTAGACTCTATGGCATGCCATTAATACCACTGATCCTCAATAACATACTTGGGCATATAGTCAGTTTTATTTTATCTATCCATGGCAAAGTATATCATCATAATTTAGCAATGGGGCAGTTTATACCCGAAAACATTCATGGTAAAATATCATATTTCTCATAATCAAAGCATTATAATTTCATTCAATGACATCTCAATGTCATATCAATTTATAAAAATGACATAATAACATGCAGTCGACTTATCGCAAGTCTTCCCGATGATGTATAAAACATCCATATATAATTTCATGCATGTATTGCACTCACCTTAACAATTTATAAATTTGCCAAAATATGAGCCTCACTATTGTTCCACAATAAACCCTCTTGATTTACTTCAATCGCAAATCAATCATAATTTGTATAAATTACAAATTCATAATGATATATATGTTAGTATTGTACTAACATAAACATATCCCAAAATAATTCCGTAGTGTATTTGATACTCATTATCTATCAAAATAACTTAATAATTTTCTTTTAACATTGGAACCAATTTTTTCAATTTACATAAAATGGTCCTTCACCATTTTATCACTTAGAATTTCAATACAAAAATTCCAGTATTGAAATTATTATCAACCCAGTACACAAAGACATAATTACAATAACACTCCCAACAATTCGAAATTTGTATTACAATCACCAAACTTTCTAAAATTTCTATATTCTGACAACTTGCACTACCTTTAAAGAATCAGTATTCTGTACTTATATACACACTGTAATTCAATTCCGTTTCTTTCATTGAAAACTAGACTCAAATACGAATCTATACATATAAAGAACTCCTTCTAATTCAGTCTGTACAATTTATGGTGAATTTTCAAAGTTGACCAACATAATCTGTTTTGCAGAATCTGCTGTCCGATTTTTCTGACCCCTCATTGGTTAAAAAATCATATATTTTTTTATACAACTTGAAATTGATCCCCGTTTTTTTTAAACTAAACTAGATCAATATATGAACATATTATATAAAAATAACCTTCAAATTATTTTTATATAATTTATGGTGAATTTTCGAACCTACTTCCAGATTCAAAATCCAAACTGTTTTCTTTAACTCCTTTCTTAGGTTCTTCATCATTTCTTACAATCAATTCTTTAAAATAAATTAACTCTTCAAAACCCATAAAACACAAGAATCAACATCCCCCTTTCATCAACTCAAGATGAACTTGGACACTAACAATAGCATGCAATATTGGTACCAAAAGATAGTTTTTTTCACATATAACAGTTTCCTATTTTCAACATACTCAAAATCCTAAGGAAATTGCTTGAGAATTGAGTTAAGGCTTGATCTTACCTTAGTAGAACCCCACATCTGGTTTTGGAGAAGAAGATGAGCAAATTTTGTTGAAATGTGGAAAACATTTCATCTTAATTTACCTTAAATTTCACTTGAATGAATAAAATATTCATTTAATTGGGATAAGACCAAATCACCCTTAATGAATCTTCTTAATTACCATAATACCATGACAACTCATCCTTATCATATTTCAAAGTCAAAGATGAAATATTTTGACTTTTAATTCCGAAATTTCCCTTAAATTTTCAAAAATTGCGTTTTAGTCACTAAATTCCACTGTTTCGGTTAAATCTGAAAAATTGCACAATTCCAAACCAAATTTATCTGATCCAAAATATTAAAATAATATTTCCAACCATCTTATAACATCCTTCAAATTTTCGTAAAATTTCAACTCGATCCGAATTACCGATTCCTTATCGGCTTTAACCCTTTCTAGTTTTTCCTTACTAAAACTCCAAATCCAAAAATATGATTTCTATAAAACTCTACTCTCAAGAGTAAACTATCTATTTATGAAATAAAAATTCTTTTTAGGAAATTATCACTTAATTCCCTAAATTATTTTCCTAAATTTTTACTTTGACCATCAAACTTTCAAAATTTGCATTTTGGTCATTGTCTAAATTTTTGGGGTATTACACTTATCCTCTAGGTCCTTTCGGTGTTACCTTAAACGTTGGGTTCTCTCATAATAACGTAGCTAACGTTTTTAAGGTCACATTTTAAGGGTTTATATTGTAATGACTGTTAAAAAATTGTTAAGTGATATATTTTATATTTATATTTTCTTTTTAAAATTTTATATTTTAAAAAAATTAAAAAATATATTTAAAAATCTTTTTTTAATTACAAAAAAAAATCCGAAAAATAGATTTTTAACTAACCTCTTATCAATCGTTGGTCATCATCAACTTTATCTTTTTTATTCCCCTTCAAAAAGGGGAAACCTCAAATCCCAACCTTCCAGTTTGACATTACATTTAAAAATTGTTGTGAAAAATTTCAGTGAATTATTTTGGAAGTTATTTTGAGAATTTGAATTTAAAATTTGAGTGTTTGATATTGCCATTAAGAAGTACTTTTGAGAAGATAAAATATATATTTCATATATGAGATTAATTGAAAATAAATTAACTTAACTAATATGAAAAATCACTAACAATTTTTACTATTACAATAAAAATCACTAATTTTAGCTTAATTTTTTTAATAAAACAAATTTTGAAAAGCTCTTTTTTTCGGACACTTGGTCGCAATTAATTATGGGAGCTTTGATGATATTGTGATGGTTGGAGAGATGATTGAGATGACCATTAAATAAGGGAAGATCCCATAAGAGGCCAACCCCAAAGAATAAAGGAGAGGTTAACAATGTGATTGTCAATGGTTCTAGAAAAGGTATCATTGTTTCACAACCAAAGTTAACGATTATTGCATCATCTAATCCTCCAAGGCAATTTGACAATACTCCGATGACGTATCGGGAGTTGTTTCAACAACTCTATGATAAACATGTGGTGTTGCCTTATCCAATTGATCCCCTAAAACCACCATATCCCAGGTGGTACGACGAAAGCGCACATTTTGAGTATCATGGTAGCATCTCTGGGGTATTCCATCGAAAACTGTCTCACCTTTAAGAGGGTTATCAAAAGATTGTGA